GGGAGCGGGGATAGAGTGGACGCGCCAGCAGAGCTGCGTGCTGAGCGCTGGTCTTTGCGGTGATGGTTTTATTTTGTTTATTTTTAGGAAACCGACTTGGATGAAGGCAGGGAATAAAACCAGTATTTCTTGGATGGCTGCATCCGTGTCGCCTGCTGCAGTACAGCACGCTTGTTCGGCTGCCAAAAGTGATCTGCTGCAAACCTGCCGAGTAACTTTTCTAGGGCGAAAGTGATTCTTGCTCGGGAAGAATATGCTTCTAGTTTAAGAGATGGCTCTTTGTGAAAAATGATTTTATCCTTTTTTGTTTATGTAACAAAATTAAAGGACTCAGGACAAGCTTTTTGAAGAACATGTGCAATGTGTGAGCCTTGATGGCCATTAGACTTTTATAATAAGTCTTCCCATGCAAACTGCACTTTCCATTTTATGACCTCTTTAAATATAGTAAGCTAAAAGTGAGGTAATTTGATCTTCTGATGGCATTCTTTTCTCAAACTAGTCAAAAGGGCATGCACGCTTTGCTAGGAAAATGTCGAATTATCTGGCCTGTTTTAAGATGTCAGCGTTTGTTTGCTGTCTCTTTGAACATCCCCATTATGCAAAAGTTTAGCTGTTTCAGTTTTATGACATCTGCCAGCACTGCATTGCCAGGGAATTCCAAAGGAGCTGGTGTTTTTCCTGCTAAGAAAAGGTCTGAAGTTGAGCATGAAGGAGGAACAGGATGGGATGAGGAGAGTAAAAAAACATCGAAAGGAAAACTTTGCTTTTCTTCTGAAGCTTCAAAGAAACGAGTAGTGAGTCGAGCTCTTTTAAGGCATAAGTTCACTGATGTCCAGCCTCCAGAAGAACCTTTGCAGGCCGAAGAGTGGAAAAGACTGAGGGAAAATTTTCAGTCACCTGAAATATTTGAAGAAGTGATGCTTAACAGTATGATCAGATGCAAAAGCCACGTAGATGTGGCCAAGTCCTTGCTGACTTACGTGGCAAAGAGTGATGGTGACATTGGGTATAATTTGCTGATCAAGTATCTGGCATTGTGTGTCCAACAGCAGAAGACGTCGGAAATTTGTGATGTGTATGATATAATGAAAATGAGATTCAAGACATTAGAAAGTAGTGCCTACAATCTTCTTATCAGAGGGCTCAGTAATTCAGATAAATGGAGAATGGCCTTGACTCTTTTGGAGGATGTAAAAAAAGTTATGACTCCCTCAAGAACAAGCTATGAATCCTGTATCAAAGTGGCCGGCAGGCACCAAGAAATGAACCTGGCGTGTGAGCTCTACCATGATATGCTTGCTAAAGACTTGGTGCCCACGTTGGATGTCCTGCAGGCCTTTTTTGACTTTAGCAGGGGTACGAAAGATGCTGAGTTAAAAAAAGAACTGTTTGGTATCCTCTTATATTTGAGAGACAACCAAATATACCCTCACAGAACGTTTATGCAAAGTATAAAGCTATGGTTTGAAAGGTAAATAATATTTCAAAAGGAAACTGAAGTTGATGAGATAGGACTCAAATTATTCCACAGATTAAGACTAATAAAATGGCCCAGCTGCTGCCTTTTATGCTGCTGCTCCCTGAGAAACAAACTGTGATTAAAAAGCTGTATTTCATTTAGCTCCAAGTGTAACTTTTTTGTTGTTTGTTTGTTTTTACCTCTTTGTAAGAGTTTTTTTACTTCTTAAATATCCATTCTTGATGCAGAAAATAGGAAGTTTTGATCATGATTGCTCAAAATCTCTAGACTTTATCTCTTCTCATTCAGGGGTTGATATGTAAGGTATATTGACAAACGTTTTTTTCCTCAAGTTAATAACAATGGAGAAATAGCAGATCATTCAAAAAAAACCCCAAAACAAACGAACAAACAACAAGAACGAAGAAGTGACTGTTTCCCTCCTTGAAGGAGGGAGGCAGTAAATTCTGCTAAGGACAAAGTACTCGCTGAGAGCCTGGTCTAGACACTCTTCTTGGTTCTCTTTTGGATCCTCTCTGGTTTATCAGTTATATATATATATATATATATATGTGTGTGTGTGTGTATGCCAAGGGTCGTTCACTGGAGTCTTCCATATACGCACAACTCTTGTTTGGGCTTCGTTAGCATAGGTTGCACAGCCATTTTTGATGAAAAAATACAGATGTGTGCACTTGTCATAACAGCAAGTACTGCCCTGCATACCTGCTTCCCATCCTGGGGTCTGTGAGGGAGCAGATGGAGCAGGTTTCAGTCAGAGTGAATTGTTTTAGTGGGCAGGAATCTGTGTTGGGCTGCCCTTCTCCCAGAGAGTAGAGAAGAACCCGCTTGGGGGTTATGTTCAGGAAACTCAAACTAATAAGAGCTCTTGAGGAGGAGACTGTAGGGGCAGAAGGCATGGTGTCCAAGAGCTATATATTGCTCTGTATATAGGAGTGTTTTTTGTCTGTAATTTGGGTGGTATTTAATAAAAATCTAATACTGTTATTTATCTTTCTCTGTGTAAATACTAGTATTCCAGGTGAGAGCTGGAGAGGGCACCTGACCAACATTAAACCCAGGTAACTGCAACATTTTATTGAAAAATGAATTCCTATATTTGAAACTATAAAGGTCCCTAATGCTTATATTTATTTAATGGTAGCTTTGCAGATATGTGAACAGCCGGTGTCGTTGCTTAGAGTAATGTGTAGGCTAAGCCTACAGTGGCCACAGTAGGCCAAGTGACTGGATTGTATTGTTCATGTGTAGCAATAAATACCCATTGCTGAGATTTCACACATAACTTCATGAATTCGGTAGATGCACTGCATCTCCTCTTCTGCAGCTTTTTTGCTTTGTTTCTTGGCCTTGTTATGCAAGCTCAGCTTCATAGTTCTGAGGATGCATCTTTCCTCTTCTGTTTTCTTTAGTGTTTAATAAGTATAGGGGGCTGCTCTGTGAAAGACTTTCTGATAGACTTGGTCCTAAGGTCACTGAATAGAAAGTCTTAGCTTAGAAATAAAGGGCAGTCTGATGTGGGCAAGCATGTTCACATGTCTCTGTTCAAATTGGAATACTTGTCTCGTCAGAATATATTTCACATTGAAATAGAGAGAAGGTGGTTTGGAAATGCTTGAAAGTAGGCTAATCTGGGGACTAAATGGGAAACCACAGATTTGATCCTGTTAGAAGTATGGGCATTCTTTTTTTTAATCTTCTTATTTCATTATTACAGTGGACTGTGCCCAGTTTGCCATCGCCAGTTGGAGGATAGTAACCTCACCGAGGAGGAATACCATTTTCTCAAAGAAAGAATAACAACAGATGTGATACATGGACGTGATACTTTTAGAAAGACAAGTCCACAGGTAAGTCTTGAATGCTCTCAGGCTTATTGGCCTGAGGATTTTTGGAGGATAAAATCCGTGTCCAAGTGCTTTGAAAACAAATGCTTTAAACATTAATTACAGTAGATATTTTAATAAGTAATCTATATTTTTTTTTTCAATTTTGTTAATACTCGTTTTATCAATCTGGAACTCTCTTATATTGTCTGAATTGTTATGCTTCCAAGTAGTCATTAATGGATTTGGAATTAGTTAAAGTGTAACATAGATCTTGGAAAAAATTCTTTAAAGTTAAAGCAAGTAGATAACTAGAATAAAAATTTATAATGTTTGTTTAGCAGTTTGTGCTTGCCATAAGATAAAAGTCCTGATGTTTCTGAAGTCCTGTATCATGTCTGGAGCGTAAACTTAGCTGGCTGTCAGGTTTTCATTGGGGAGCTGTGAGTCAGAACCAATGAAGAACCGATTATTATTTTGTTCACTTAGCTTTCCCAAACAGACATGTTTAAGATGTATTTCATATTTCTAATTGCAATACGCATTAAGACTATGTAACTTTTTCAAAACTCAGTGTGAGGATATGAGAGGGCATCGTTCTGGGACACTGTGCTGAACTGCAGTGCTGTTTCTTACTCGTGGGAAGCTGAAGTCGGGTGAGCTCCACTAGATGGAGCCCACAGCACATCTCGGGCTGCTTGCAACTTATCTGTACAAATATTGATGTCGCTTTGCTGCGCTAGTTCTGAAAATATGGAGCAAAACACCGGGTTTAGTTCTTGAGACTTACTGCAGACACGAACCTCGTGCATGCATGACAATTCTTGAAACAGCTAGTGTCAGGGTATCTGTAGAACAGGAATCCTGTTGTCTAATTTCCATGGGCTTCCTTCTCAGTTCAGGACTTCAAGCTAATCTGAATGTGAATTATGCAGGTGAGTGAAGTGATATTTAAAATGCAGCAATAATATTAACTATTGAGTGGGCACTGATGTTAGAAAACAATGTGCATATTCTACACTGTGTAAAATCATGTTTTGTATATAGGTAATGCTACCTGTTCTTCAAAATCCCTTGTAAAAATTGTGACTGATGCAGATTTATGCAGTTAACCATCTAATCTGTGAAGCATCATTTATGTTCCCTTTAGTGATTGCTGACTGGAAAAATAAAACAGTTTTGTCAAGTATATGGGTTAGATTAGTGATACCAGGTGGACAGGGGAAAAACTTGCTAGGGGGACATTCAGACAGGGTAGTTCTGAGAGACAGGACTTTCATATCCAGGTTGAGCAATAGAGGAAATGATGCTCCTACTGTTTGATCACTAGTTTGAGCAAAGAAATGCAGTCTTAAGGAACTGGAATCAGCGTACTGTTTTAAGCTTTGTCCATAAATTTTGGTAATCTGCACAGTAACCGTTCTGTGACTCTGCTCTGAGTTCCGAATTAGCCTTCGTACGGTTCTGTGTCTGCAGCCGATCATCTGATGGCTGAGTGGGGCTGCAGCAGGGCGGGTTTGCTGCTGGCCACGCTGCTTGAGCTGAGTGTATTTTAGGCATGGATGTGGTATCCAAACAGCACAGTGCAACCATTTCAGAGGTTTCTCAAAATAAATTTGGGGCTTTTCATTTGCTTTTGGGCTGTGAAAGCAGACATATGGTGATGAGAATATCCTGCCAATTTTGTAAAGTCTAGGTATACCAGACTCTGTGACTTCTCCTGCAGCCAGGGCTTTCCAGAGGGGAAGCTAGTGAAGAGGCTGAAATTATGGCCTAGGCAAGCGTATCGGAGAAGGGGTTTTTCATTTTCCGCAAGCAATCGTGTCACTTGTATTTACTGCAATTCAAGAAGAAAACACTTGAGAATTAGGATCTTCCACTACCGCTTCTTCTGTGTGTCTGTGGTGCTTACAAAAGAATGATTAGTAGGTAGAACAGTTTGAGTTGTTTTGATCTCTAAGCAGTATTGTTCCAACAATGTTTCAAATTGCATATGTGACAGGATTTCCTTTTTTTTCTGCTCTGAGCAATGTTTTTTTTTGTTACTGTTGCAACAATGTTATTGCTTTGAATTTTTTTTTTTCTTTCTCTCTCCAAGAAGCGATAACACGGAGTAGAAAATGAGCAAAGACTTGCTTTGGCTGGAGTTCTCCAAGAGCAGTCTGTTGTAGTGCAGTTGCAGTTAAGTTTTTTGTGATTAGACAAATTCCTGAAGAAAACTTGGGATCATAAATCAAAGTGCTGGTGAACAATACTATACAGTGTTTTGAAAAGATGGCCTATCTGGAGTATGAAACTGATTATTTGTGTGGAAATACCCATTGCATTAAAAATGGAGATCAATTCAGATCCTATTTATAGACACCTACCAAAGAGTCTATTAGCATGTGATATGGTGATCTAATGGAGAGAGCTGCAGCTTTGCAGGTTGTTGTAGGAAGAAAGCAACTCTATCAAAACCATCACCTTTGTACCAATATCTATATGGTATTTTCAACTGGATTTTTTTTGAACTCTGCTCCTATTTGCTGTTGAGCCTGATGATATAATCACCTGAGAAGCAGTAAAATCATTCACTGTGGTGACTTTCATGTCCTAGCTGTTCCCGTGTGTTTCTTGTACATATGCACGTGTATTAATTTCATTCCCCTTGTGGCAGCCTTGTAGCCCTGATAAGTCTGAAAGAGCTGTTGGATGGGGGAGAGGAAGTGCTCGGGAGATGCGTATGTGCTGTCTGAAGACAGGAAAAGGTGGTTTTGTGGGCATGTAAAGTCCTCACACTAGATCTGGGCTAAATGTGCCAGGGGGTTTTACAGACCCATCTAGAGTAAAGAGATTAAAAGGAGAAGTAATAGTGTGACCCTTTCACCTCAGAGTTATTTTTGCAGCTGAATGAGAGTGTGCTGTCTCTGTGGACCCTCGATAACATAGCCCTGGCTCTAAACTTTTGGTTTGGTACCTTTTCTTCTCTTCTGTAATGCTTTGGTTCCCCTTTCACACGCACATGATTGCCAACTCCATGGTTTTCCCCTAAACCCTCTGTGCTGTCTGCTAGTCCCTTCCTCGGTGGAGCAGTTTACTGCTTCCAGAAACCTGTGCGCTTCAAGCAAGTAGTCCTGGCACAACCTACCTTAATTCCACCTGGTAGATCTTCCATTCCAGCTTCCAGCATGGCTTCTTGGTACCTGCATCTACCTAGCTGCTTCCGAATTCATACCTGGAGGCGCCTAAGTTCTTGCAAATTCTGAATTTCTTGCATTTGAGTTGCTTCCAAGATGAGCCACCTTTACCTGCCCAGAGATTGCCTGGAAGATGCAGCTCTCCATTTTGTAGCTGGAGGCCATGAGTTCTTCATATTTAGCTCAGAGCGAATGGTAGACTCTTCTTATGATGTTGTCTGCCAAAGGGAGAGGACTTGTGAAAAGAAGGAAAAGGAGGTGGGAGGCTGAATAGTAAATGGGTGGCAAGAGAAAAGGCAGTTTGAATTTTGCTAGGGTTTCTGTTGCATCTTCCCTTTCCCCAGTGGTTCCTGATAATGGAAACGAGCAGAAGTATAGAGCGGTGGTTGGCAGGAGCATAGAAGATCACTTCCTTAGCAGCAAGAAGTAGATCTGGTGAGCAGAAGTGTAGAGCGGTGTTTGGCAGGAGCATAGAAGATCACTTCTTCCTTAGCAGCAAGAAGTAGATCTGGATGAAAATATTATAAATGCAGCATGTATTTCTCTCCCTCAATTACCTCAGTATTAGAGAATGTCAAATAATCTGAGGGGGTCTGGGATGATTGTCTATGTGTTGGAGATCTTTCTAGCAAAATACATGAAAAGATTCCTGGTGTAGTGTGCTTTTTCTCCATTCTTATCTTCATTACATTAGCTAGAATATATCAGTGAGAGAAATGGAGAAATCTTCCCAGGATTTTATAAGGTCATGACTTGATAAAGTATTTATTTTTTGTCTGTTCATTAGCTGTTCGGAGAGGCAGACAAGGCCAAAGATATGAAAACGGAACAGTAGGTTTTTCCCCATTGGTTCACCAAAAGAATTAAAATAATCTGAAAGGGTAATGAGTAGCTGACCTTTTTTGTGAGATTTTTATCAGGAACTTCTTGGATAAACAGTCAATTACTTGCAATTCTTTCATCCCTAAGTAACTACCTGGGGGCTCTTGAGACATGTTTACACAATGCAGACTGTGTATAATAAGTCCTTGTTTCAGTCCTCTCTG